ATAATAACTGTGCCTACAGTGCTGGCAATATACTTCATGTTAAATTTCCTATATAATAACTGTGCCTACAGTGCTGGCAATATACTTCATGTTAAATTTCCTATATAATAACTGTGCCTACAGTGCTGGCAATATACTTCATGTTATATTTCCTATGTCAGGTCCTGTTCCAGGTGTTTTGTTCCCATTAACTTCTTTGCTAACTTTGTTTTTTATCTTAAAGATTTCTTCACACCTTTACCTAACACTGTGTCCTTTCACAGTCTCAGAGCTGCCGGTTAAGTTTCTGGGCCTGTCTCTCTTTAGCATCGAAGGCAAACTTGGTGTCCTGAAGCTGGGCGATGATCTCCTTGGCCTCCTTCATGTCCTGGGCCAGCTGGTCGTACTTTTCCGCCAGCTCCCGGTTCTCACCTCGCAGTTCTGCCACCAGCTGGCTCAGCTCCTCAGCCTGCTGCCCGCAGTGTGATTTCAGCTGCTCCATCTCCCGCAGCATCACTTCCATGCTTTTCATGAGTCCTTCCAGCTTTTCCTTAGACATTCTCCTTTGTTTTCAGGCTAAATGATAGTTGGCTTGAAGTATCGAGCTCTTGAGCTTCAGCAGCAGTGAGTATCGGAGGAAAGAGAGAATATGACTTTCCAGCAAGTAATTCTGGTGCCTGATCTTGAGAAGCTAACTACTTTATTGCCTTACTTTAATACCTTACCCCTTCCCCCTGCTGCAGCAGGATCCCTCTTCCAATACTTATCATCCTTGCTGATTAATCCCCTTACAGGAGCTATCCTGGGAGCTACTCATAAAGAAACTCCTAAGCTCCTCTACACACCCTACATCTGTAAAGGTTGAATGAATGACAGATTAACTGCCCAGTTTTTGGTAGTGAAACAAAATGCTTACATAATCATCCATCCATCCATCTGTCAATCTTCCAATCTCTTCTGGTCACAGTCACCTAGTCATTCTGGTCATTTACCTGGAACCCATCCAGACAGCACAGGACACATAGTCCTAATGCTGTCATACACTTTGGGCGGTTTAAGGAGGTCATTCCAGCCAACTGCATGTCTTTGCCTGTGGGGGTAACTCTCTCTCTCTCACACACACACACACACAGTAGAGGTGGGTTCGATTCAAGCCCCCAACCCTGAAGGTGTGAGATAATGGAACTGGTGGATCTGCTAGAGCATCTGGTTTAATTTATTTATTTGCTACCTCGTTATTCAAATGCTGACAGTCGTAACATCATGGCCAACTCTCTCCAAGCAAACATGTCGAGTGTGCACACTGTCAGGGAAAATCATTTCACAAAACTACTACTTTTGTTCAAAAAGGAGCATTAGCCACCCTGCAATACAGTACATGTGATATGGTACGGTACTGTAAATGCTCTAGATACAGTCTGAGTAGAGAGTTGAATACATACCTGTTTTCCAATCAGAATGTCCTTATTATGGATGACACTGTGAAATGGCTTAGATTAGGGTGCACTCTCTGCCCAGCTTCCCTCATAGTCAGGCCATGGTTTATGACATGCTCCACCAAAGTTGCTCTTATGTCATCAGAAATAACGGTCGTTGCATGGCCTCTTCGACCACGTCCTCCTCTCTCTCTCTCTGTCTTCCTCATCCTCTTCCTCTGCCTCTAGCTCTCCCTGCCACCATGCTTGCAAAGTTCTCAAAATGGCTTAAGTGAGGCCTTTTTGTAGCTGGCTGATTGGTGTTCAGTTTTGTATTTTCAGGTGTGTGTCTAAGTATTTTCAATTAACCAATGTGTTTTGTATTTTGAATAGATGTGTTTTCCCAATGGTACTGCGAGATTTCATTTTTGAACAAAGTGTCTTATGTATGAAATAGTGTATAGTGTGCAGGAGCAAGTCTGTTGCAGAAAGGAGCAAGTGTGTTGCAGAATTGCAGCTAAAGTGCAAAGCAGCGCTTTTGTTTATGGTATGGTTACAATTTGTTTAAGGTATAGTGACAACAACTTCAAGTTATGTTACTTTGGTTTAAGCATTTGTCTATAGTGTTTAAGCAATCGGTAAAAACTGTAATCTCCAATATGTTGGTACGTGTTGGTACATTTTGAATGAAAACATTGCATATTTATAGACCCTGATACTGGACTGTACAAATCTGATTGCTGGACATAGTCTGATGAAGATCTGAACACTAAATCACTATGTATACAAATGAAGACTAACCTTCACTGCTTCTTGTAGGCAAGGCAGTAGATTTCGCCTTGAGTGTTCTGATACAAAACAGAATCCAATTAGACACAGCTTTAAGAATAGCAGCCAGACATCCTGGAGATTACAAACCAGCCCATGCCAGGAAGGTAACAGCAAAGTAGAAATAAAAGACACACATAACTTATAACTAACGCTCATAATAACACAGATGTGATACCCAGTAAATCCACTAAATACAGCTCTGGAATAAATTAAGAGACCACAACAAAATTTTCAGTTTCACTCATTTCTCAATTTATGGGTTTGCGCCTGTGTAAAATATATATTTTTTCACAAACTCCACCCTGGCTCTTCCCTGATTCTCATTGATGAAGGACTTCTGCCTTGTTTTATAGGTCTTCAGTCGTGCTTCTAGGAACCTGCTATGAATTGTCCTAGCAGTGCATTTCACACCACTTCATGTTTCCCTTTTTTTTAAGGTCACTTCATGTCATCCTCCGTTTCATGAGGTACTGTCGGATAAGTTAACGGTCATCTCTGGCATTAGAAAATTGCTTCTGCCCTTTACCTGACTGGTTTCAGGTCGTTCCCAGTGTCTCCTGCTTCACCTGGTTCTTGTGTACTGCCGCCTTAGAAATTTTGAGCCTGGAAGCAGCCTGCCTCACAGTGTAGCCTTCTGCCAGGAAAACCAGGATTAAACCAGGATTTTAAAATGTAGATTTATAATATATATATATATATATATATATATATATATAGAGTGGTCTATTAATTTTTTCCAGAGTTGTAAATATCCAGTAAACCCAATAGATGTAAGCCCAGTAAAACCACTAAATATATATGTCACAGGCTTCCTTATATTTTGGTTTGTCATTCAAATTCCAACTAGAACCTCAATTACACTGGAAATCTGTTTATGACCAAGCCAGGCACCAAAATGCTATTTATAACTGACTGTTCTACTTAAATGCATAAAAACATATAAACACTTTCTTTCTGGAATTGTTTTTATATGAGAACCGAATTATTGGATATCGGTAAAGTAGATTTTCTGTTTTTAAAATTAGTTTTGAACATTTATTAGCCAATAACCATCAACAATTATTTAAGACACGTGTATTGCATTCTTAATTTGACCTTACATCTAACAGAATTGAAGAGGGAAGCAATTTTTTTACAACACATTAAAATTTAGAACATCTCACATTTATTACAGCAGGAAATTGTTGCGAATAAGTTTTCTTTGCAAAAAAGTGGAGGTTGCTTTAAATTGCCAAGGTGTCTCCTGTGAACAGCCTTTTTAAAGTCATTCCACAGGTTTTCTATGGGATTGAAGCCTGGCGTCTGATTGGGTCACATAAAGACTTCAATATCATGTTAGACTGAAATTCCTCTTTATCTTCAGCTTTCTGATGGGGGGCAGGGAACAGGGTTTTTTTCTCAAAACATCTTGATATCTGCAGCCAGCCAGATACCCAGCTGAAGAGCAGCAGCCCCAGAGCACGACGCTGCCATCACCACGTTTCAGCAAAGGTATGGGGTCCTTTGCAACAAACACATCACTTAGAATGTTCAGATCCTAGTCTTGGTGATGTCACCTTTTCTTCACGTGTAGATGACAGTCTTCACAGTGCTCCATGGCATATCTCTCTCCTGATAGAGCTCTTTCAACAATAAGATCCCATAGATGTCTGTCAGTGGAAACAAGTGTGATTGGTTACCTCTGAACGCTGATTTTTAAAATTTTGTCTCCTAATAATGTTTCCCTGAAAGGTCACATTAAAAATAGAAAAGTGTGGGACATGATTTATTTTGATTTTGTACATGTACACTTTTTATATCTGCAACACAAGTACATGAATTGTACAGTAATACTCTGTACAGTATGCAGTAGATATGTCTTATTTTTACATTTCCAGGTGTATTATATAAATTTTTCACAACATGTTTTAAAGGCATCTTAAAATGGCCACATCAGACAAACCTAAATTCAAAGTGTTGAGGTTTAGTCTTTTTTTGACAATATCAAAGTAGACACATAATCACATTAACATTGGCAACATATAGACATCGCAATAAGCAATTATAATAAAATGTCAAAAGACACAGCCAGCCCACTATAGTGTATAGTATTGTACACATTTTGGAGGCTTTAGTATTCAAAGATCTTGATATCTTTTCCAGCAGAGACAAACAAGGACTGTATATAAAAAGAACAAATTGAAATTACATTTATTCTTTATCGCTCTGACATCATAAAGCTTCCCAAGACAGAGTAGCTAAATTTTGACATCAGTATGGTTTGTTCTGATACCTAAAAGAAATATTATGCAACCAGAAATCTGTGACACCCAGCTGAAGCATAATATACCAAAAATGCCACATCCATTCATAAACTATTTGAAGATAACTAATTGCTTTAAAACTAATGGTGAATGGTTTCTTATTTTATGAGCATATTGGACATATGTTATCAAAAAAACGTAGCGAGTGGTTGCATGGATCATAACTATAGATAATCTTAAAATGAATATCGCTGCTTTTACTAGGCCAGACAAGTCATGCAGGTCACACGCACCTCGAGTTTCGAACATTTATTTCTGTCATTTCCCGTCATGCATTTCTATTTCCGGAGTACCACTTCCTGTACGCCAGTACCTGTTCCCCGACGTTTGTGTTTGGTGGTCTCCCAGTTGGTTTGAAACGACACTTGAAAAGGTCGCCCGTTGCGGTGAATTGGCTTCAACAGCGAGACGTGCAGCGAACAGTAAATATCTAACAGTTATGGTAAGTGCACGGGTGATCCTGCCTCGAAATGTTGTACCAGAGTGTTTTCATTCAGCGTTCATGAGCGGGCCGGTATGGAGCACATGCGTGCTGGCTGCAATCATTGCTAGATAACACACTCGCTCGTTTTCTTTATGATTGTGTTATCTTATCTGTGTCGTTCATTTGTTCCTAATATAACTGGCATAATGTAGCGTTAGTACTGGGATTGCATCTAAATGAATCGGCTCCTTGGCTGCGTTAAATTTCTGGAGTAACTAACATTTTGGACATTGCTTATGCAAGCCTTGTTAACTGCGCATCCTGTAATATTATGAAAAATAAATGTAGATGGTAAAAGAACTGTACAGTGAGACGAATTGGTAGTACTGGCCAGTTTAAGCATCTCGCATAAGATGGCGTGTGTAGCTAAGGAAGGGTGTATTAAAAGCAAAAGGGTGTATGCAAACTCAGTATTAAATATGTACTATGCCTAGGTGAATTTAGACAAAGGTGCAGGGTAGTAAAACCAATGTAGTTTATGCAACGTACAAGTGCAATACGATCCAGGCTAGTTAGAAGTCGAAGCTACAACCAGACGATTTCTATCTAATACTTCAACCGATCACATGCCTTAGATTGGGACCTGTTAAATGATCGAATTACACATTCTAATATGCCACTGGATAGTAAAGACTGTAGTATGAAAAGTCAGCATTTAATAAATACAATATTGGTGTATTGATTAAATGCTGACAGGAACTGAACAAAAGCAGCGCATTCGACGTCAGGATATATATCACTTACCGTACTTCCTCAAATAGTGGCCGGGGCCATTATTTACCTAAGCAGCAGAAGGCCTTTGTTTAATATTACCTCTGTTACTGCGATACAAGGTTAATTAAAATTCTACGTATGAATGAATCAAACGCCACAGTTGTACCCGGTATGTTTTACAGGGTTCAAACTGACACATTTATTGGAAGTAGTTTTGATACAAACTACATTACAGTATTGCTAGACTATCAGAATTCTAAGAGCTGGTTAACAGCATCAGTAATTACCTTCTAAACGTGTATTCTTAAAAGATAACTTTTCATCAATGCCATGAATGTTGTGTGTAGTAAAACACACCCAGGTCTCAACATAAAGGCAAAAAAAATAATGACTTACTCCGAATATTAACATTAGTAGACACTACTATTTTTACAGCATCACATCTTATCTTGCTTTACAGTACGAAATCATTCATTTAAAACGATAAACAAAAATGCTTAATGGTAGCTGTCTATCAGATAAATAAGACTCGTTGAATATCGGCTTTTATATACGGTAGTACACATTCTTTATACGAGCATCGGGATGTCTGTGAGTTTCGGTTTAATGTAAATGCAAACATTGTACCTTTAGTTGACTGTTTAGTTGGTCCTATAGTTAGCCATCGTGAGTTTCCAAGGCGGCTCCTTTTTAATAAAGGATTCTATTGTTAAACTTATTACCTTTCTTTCAAGCTGTTGTAATTTTAGTAACACAACCCACGTTTTCCAGTCTCAGACTAAAAGATGGTTACTGACCTAAGGGCTCCATTTTCAGCAAATTGTAGCTATAGAAATGTATTTTCTCTTTGAACTTGTATATTACAGTTCTGGTAAGTTTTTAGGGGGAAAATGCTCAGCTGCCATAATTAGCACATTGGCTTTGAGGTCGGGGCTGATGGCACTGAGAGCTGCACCCAGACCTTCTCCTCATAGCCTCATCCTACCACTCAACAGAGCAGCAGCATCAGTCATAGCCACGTCTTCTGCAACTCAAATGTATGACAAATGTAACTGAACCTCATATTTCTCTGAAATTGCAAAACAGAACTTCTTTGATGAATAAAGTTGTTCCACTACAACTTGCATAATTTAAAAACATCAGTATATCTTACTGGCTTTTTCTAGCTTTACTTCCAGCTGGACCGTAGCTTGTCCTGTGCCCCATCTCTGTCCACTTTTCTCTATTTAAGGTTTAAAGTCGCAGCTGTGCCTAAAATATTGCAAAAAAGAAATCTTACTTCAGAAATTGGGCAGGAGTTACCTGCTGGGGCCGCTTGCTGACAATCCGACCATCTGCTTATGAGGGTAGACGGTTGGAGGACGTCTGTGATTAATGTCTTGAGTGATCAAGAGTTGAGAATGAAAGCCTTGGGCCAATTCATTTGAATTACAGCCTCTGAATTACTTTATTCAGGTCATCTAATGACTAGGGGTTATTCTCTAGAAGAATTGGAGTTTTAAGACGTTGAAACTTGCAAATAATCTGAACCGAAAAGGAGTACGACAACATGCCTTTGTGTTTATAGGAAGGGCACGGCAAGCCATTTATCAGGTAGTGATGGTTTGGGTTAGCATGCTAAGTAACCCCATGCTAACTTGAGCTCTGTGTCGCAGTCCCACACAATCCTGCTGGTCCAGCCCACCAAGAGGCCTGAGGGGAGAACATATGCCGATTATGAGTCTGTCAACGAGTGCATGGAAGGTAAGACGACCAGTCCGTATTACTTTTTTCAACTGTGTTGAATTGTCTGTCCAATGTGTCTAGCACTTGGTTGCAAGACTTTTTTCTACCCACACACATTTCCCTTGCTGTAATTCCCTTGGTGTAATTGGTATAATATGGTCCTTGAGTCTGCCTTGAGTGAGGGCAGACCTGTCCTTCTTAAGGACTCGAGTACCTTCTGCAGCAGGTGACCAGGCTGTTTTGAATTGCTTGGGTTTCTCTCCCAGATCCGGCGTCTTTGCTCCTTACAACCCTCCGATGGTCTTTGGCCTGTCAGAAATGCCAGACAAAGGAGTGTCCATCTATGCAGCTGCCTTTCCTGCATGTACTTTGAAGTTCACTAAAAATAACTGGATAAATCCCCCCTTTAACACTGGCTCTGTAGTGCAGTGCATCACTGCAACAACTGCGGCGTTAAAAATAGCCAAACCCGTGGGGCCGGCTTTCGCTTCGTCCCCGAAAGAGAGGGTGACCGATGTTTCCTAACACTGCTAGGAGTCTGCAAAATGTACGAGGAGCACCTGAAGAGGATGAACCCCAACAGCCCGTCCATCACATACGACATCAGCCAGCTGTTCGACTTCATCGACGACCTGGCTGACCTCAGCTGCCTGGTGTAAGTCTGCCCTGCTTCCTGTCACTTTAAGGGTTTGGTGTCTGATTCCACACCACTGAAGAATTTACCCTCAGCAGCAACATACACAAAGCTGTCTCTTGAATGAATGTGAGATTTTGGTGGTTGTGTATCTTAGCCAGAGTCAAGACGCAGACCTAATAACTTGGAGAATGTTCTCCATTTGGGGTCTGGCTGTGCTTGTCACACTAATGCAGCTTTTTTCAGCCAATCAAGAACCACTGAACTGCAAGTTCTTTGTGTTGTATGAAGTCCACTTTGAAGTCTTCATATGCAGAATAACAATGAACCGACTTGTACAACCAGGCTTTAATCCTCTTCCTGACCAGATTATTGGGTATATGCAGTGTCCAGATTTCGTCAGAGAAATGTCAGGACAGACAGGAAAAAGCAAATTCAATTCTTTTGTGTGGTCTAGTAGATTGAAAGACTAAGTTACTAGTGAAGGTGATTAGGGCTGAACGATTTGGGGAAAATATCTAATCGCGATTTTTCCGACAGACATTGCGATTACGATTTGATTTGCAATATAATTTTTTATGTCAAGCTTCAGTTGAATATTCAGTGTAATATTAATATTAATTTAATATTAAATATTAATATTACATTATAATGTAATAATGAACAAATGCAGCAAAAAAAAAAAAACAATAGCGATCTTGCAGGTAACGCTGATTACCCCCTTAATAACACTAGAACCGCCTTTCCCACGCCAGTGAACAAGCAAGAAATACTTTGGTGTATGCAGCCGTTTTGTTTGCGCTAATGTGTTATTAGTGTTAATAACAGCAGCGAATCTAACACTCAAAAAGCTGCGATGTTCATAACAGGGTGGCTGCTCTGTCCTGAAACTGTAAAGCTGGAATTTTTTCAAACGTAGTATGCATTTTGTAAAATGTCAAATAAATAGACGTAGTTTATCGGTGGTCATGTTAGTCTACGTTTCCGCTTTTTAACAACTGTATAAGGTTATTTTTTATACAAATCAATTCAGGGGAAACAAAAAATGTATGTGTTCTGGGTTGCAAACTCTCACGGGTTTGGGTAACACGCTTTCAGACTCTCACGCAAGAAATCTTATGGCAAATCTAAATTATTCCATTATGATCGATATGAAGTTCGAAGTTAGACTTAGCTGCATCAAAAACGTTAGGGCAGTTTGCAAACTCTACAGACTATTTACATGGTAATAAAACTCTTACATACACGTAAATGTATGTGCAGACTCGTCTCAAACAGAAAGCCTCACTCCAGGCAGCTGAGCAAAGATTCGACTGAAGCGGCTTATCATTCCTTTGCCTTGTATGAAACGGAGAAAATATTATATGCGTCACTTTTTTTATATCTTTTTTAAATAAGACCATGCCCATACCCAACTGTAATAACGATTAAAGAGATCTGTTCTTTTAGTATTTGTGTTAAAGCGAGGCTTGCATTTTATTACTGTTGTGGTATCAAGATTAATTTCACAAGATTAATCTATGGAAATCAATACTTAAATCAATGAGCACAAAAACATATATGACATAAACACGAGTGTATTATGGATTTTACGGCATTTCTGGGGGTCACAGACTCTGCTGCTGTGAGGATTACCTACCGTCTCGTTGTTTTAATTGGTTATATGCTAATGTGATTTCCTATTAACAAAAATAAAAGGTGTGATACGCTG